GGGGTATGTGACCCCTGAACGATCCTCGGGGACCTACCCGCAATTAACCAACCTTTTAGGTCCCGGTAGGGATGTCGTCATATCTCATGCACACAGATCCTTCCGTCTACGAAAAGCCCTTCGAATTCATCCCTGAACGATGGATCGGAGATGTTGACCCGGCCATGAACCGAAACTATGTGCCGTTTGCCAGGGGTTCGAGGAACTGTCTTGGGCTCCAGTAAGCGTTCCTGATTTTCTTTTTTCCCTCTATACTACTTTCAGAGGTGCTGATATTATTATGTCCTGTTTAAGCCTAGCAATGGCGGAGGTCACCTACGCCTTGGCGGTCCTTTTTCGCCCCAATGGTCCCAAGTTGGAGTTATTCGAGACAGACGAAAGCGACGTGACTCAGGTACACGACTTCATGGTTGCGACACCAAAACTAGACACCAAAGGTGTACGCGCACGCGTTCTCTAACCTAGCGTAGTAGACAGTTAACAAGGCAGAGAGAAAAATGGACGGTAAGGCATATGCGATTAATCAAATTGGAAGCGTATCAAAAGCGAAGACGTTCGACGTTGGAAGTTGAGAGTTCACAGCATGCATAGTAGTGTAGCAGAGTTCTGCATTGCCGTCCCGTGTCCTGTACGAAGGTAGCAATGGAGATAAATTATGAAGGTTGCCTTCACGTGGAATTAGGTCGCATGCTCTAAAATCGGTCCCGACTAAAGGGATCTCGGGACGACTGTGGGAACAAATCTCATGTCAATCTTATGTTTACTGTATTGAATAATTGAGGGATTTCTACAACCGCAATCGACTGGACCTCGTGGTGGGGGCCGAATGCGAGAGGGTTTTCCCTTGCTCCCTATACGAAACTCGCTTCACAAGCTAATCCAGCCACTGGTGTGGGCGTACGATGCCTCAGTAAGACTCCAACACGTGGCTTAATGTAGTATAGTGTAAAGGAATGTCGAATTTTGAATAGCTAATCCCCCTTTGGCCTGCATAGCTCTGTAGTATTAATCCGATCCTTCGACTGGGCTTACGTTGGAGGAAGCATGCATTGCAACCACATGCTTCTCTAGTCGTAGGGGTCGTCAGCATGCGTTGCAACCATATCGTCGTGATGGAGGGGTGGGTATCCACTACCCAAACTGGAATTGTGAGCAGATCTGTCTAAGATGCGGCCGAAATACTGGCTAGTCGCCGTTCATGCCAGTAATATTTGTCAGACGCCATTCCACGAGATCTAAAATTCTCTTCCTTCTCGCTTCGTTGATATCGCGAATCTCTAGAGGAAGCTTCAGAGCCATCATGTCGTCCCAGTGGTCGCAAGGCGTCGTTCCGCCCCCCGAAGGCGTCACCCCCAACTTCGTCGACCCTCCTAACCAGCTGTCGGGGAACATCGCGGTCCATACGATCTTTCTCACCATAAGCACGCTGTCTGTTATTATGCGGATATATACGCGCCTATATGTTTCTCGAGTGAAGCTAGGCGTCGATGATTGTGAGTCTATCTCAAGGCTTAGCGGTGATGTCTGAGTTGAATACAACAATTACTGATGTTCGCCAACTACAGATCTCTGTCTAGTGGCATATGCAAGTCGCTACCAAACCTCTAATATCTAGACTATAAACTAACCTTCGCTTGGTAGGCTGCGACGGTGACTTATTCAGGACTATTACTTGAGTGTATGTTGGGTGAATCTGCGCCTTCTCTTCCTTAACTACGTGCTGACTCGGTCAAAGGTTTCCATTGGGGAATTGGGCGGCATATCTGGGATGAACCAGCCATCTGGCTCATTCCAGCCTTGAAGGTTCGTTTTCAAGGCATTGGCAACAGCATCGATGCTGACAAACATTACACAGTATCAAACCATTGCAGCACAGATATACTTCATAGCAACCACTCTCATCAAACTCAGCCTCCTGTTCTTGTACCGCCGTATATTCAACCTCCAGAAAACGGCCAAGATATTTGTTAATGGCGGCATCATCGTCGTTACTCTGATGGGAATAGCCATCTTGCTTGCAATCATCTTCTTCTGCTTCCCAGTCGCGAAAGCGTGGGATGACTCAATCCCTGGTCACTGCTCGTCTCCCGCTCCCGTGTCCTACCTCTCGGGTGTCTGGAACGCTATCGTGGATATCTACGTGCTCATTCTTCCTGCTCCTCTCCTCTGGGGGTTGAATATGGGACCAAGGAGGAAGATGAGACTCGGTGCTGTTTTTGGAATCGGTATCTTGTAAGTCATACCAAGTGCCTACCTAGGAGTGACCTTTGCTGATATTCCTCCCACCAGTGCCTGTGTGGCTAGTCTTGTCCGTTTGGGAATGACACCACTTCTGCAAAGTGATCTGGATTCTACTTATAACATTGCTCGAGTTTCGGTCTGGGCGTAAGTTCTACGCAAGAAAATCCCCAAATTGTACTGAATACCCTAACAATTATTTAGGACGTTGGAAATAAACGTCGGTCTAATCTGCTCCTGTCTCATGCTGCTACCGGCCTTCCTTAGACACCACCTACCAGAGTCAGCCAAGTCCTATTTCCGTTCAATTATTTCTTCGAAAGTATCACGATCTGGTAAGAACTCAAGCAGCGGTAAATCGCACCAATGGGTAGGATACCAGCACAAAGTGAGCTCAGATTCCCAAAATCTGGTTTCGATGAAGGACGAAAACAAGATTTTGAGGACAAACACCTTCACTCTTGAGACTGTTCGAGCGCCACCAGCAGACTTAGAGCGCGGTACGATGACTCCTAATGTGAACCGCTTCTAAGGTGTCACAACATGACTGGACCTTGGAGAACCTATCTTGAGGGTTGCCTCCTTGCAGTAATGTCTGCATGGCAACGGCGCAACACAATATGCGTTCAGAAAACCCTCTCCACCTCCACACCGATCACCTCAGCTGATTGGAGTGGGACTATTATCGCCTTACGCCCTATGTCAGCATTAAATATCTTAGCCGATTATCACCCAATTGCCACCAATAACACTGCCGGCTTACGTCTGCCGTTGATCCGTCTTACTGCCAGACGCACCCATCGGCACTCATGAGGATATATGAAAACAATGAGCGGAGTTCGTTTCTTACGCATGCATATGCTGTCATGAATGGACGCACATACTACATATGATAGTACCCATGGTCCCGGTTACGTATTGTGTATTATATCAGTTAATTGTATTATGTACATATGTTACAGCTCATTTCTTACCGACTCGTGTGATTAGTCTTGGCTAAACTAGTAATGATGTGTTGCGGTAACCACGCTTGGCATACGCCAGTTTGTCCATGAAATGACTAAGTCAGATGTGATGCAGAGCCGACCTTCTCCCTTTCACTTTAGGGAAGAAATAGATAGCATTAGGTCATTATCGTAGTTTGCTGGAGGACGCGTGTACACTTCAAGGGAATAAGGGAGAACGGCCTAGCCTAGATGACCAAAGGACTGTAGGGATGTTTTACTGCAAAGGACAATCAGTAAGGAGCAACGAGGCCCGAAAAGGGGGAATAACCATGCACCAATGTGGGATTAATAAGCACCCACACATTCATAGAATCGCGCCGTCGGCTATGGGAGAAAATCTCGTGATACATTCGTTAACTGCAGTGTGCTAAGAAACCTGGGGGGTCCGTAGAGCTTGCAGGCAGCCAGGTGAACGAACCACCTAGAAATACCAGGTAATTACAAGTCAAAAATAGTCACTTCAACATGTGAATATCCATCATATCCATTTTCCCCTCATAATCTAAGTGTCGGGGTTGTTGGCTTCTTCAAACTCTTATCGTTGGTCTCTCCTTTGTCCAGGCACGTTAGGTAGGAATTGGTGTGGAATTTCCGTTGCTACACGGGCAGTTTCTCTTCGATATCCTCACCTTACATCAAATAACATAATCGTTATCGGATTGGCGTGGCTAGCAATTGGTAGCCCTCCCCGTCTCTACGTCCCTATGAATGTCGTGTAGAGACGTCAAGAAGTTTCTATAGCTATATCCACACTATAAAGAAGAGCTGTTTTCTCTAGCTTAGATGAATGAGATCCTAGATCTATAACGTATTGCCCTAAATTTCTTATGTGTGTTATATCAAGTATCGTCAATGAATGACTCAAATATCAGGTACATATCGGCGCCGCAGTACGTAGTAAAGTAGCACTTCACCGGAACTCCAACGTCATTTCCTCTAATCAAACTACCTAGGTTAGGGTCAGATTAAAGTGATGAGAAGGAACGACTCAAGTTATTACCTCCCGGAGGGAAGGAACCCCCTTCCAGACAACTTTATTTGCACTACAATGTACCCATGTAGACTATAAGGGGCTTCTGGGCATGTGGCAGTTGGCAATTGATTCTACATTAGATGGAGTTTGGACAAACCACCCTCTTAGATTTCATTTGGCCATGTATTCCGTTGTTCAATTGTCGGTGATAGAAAGCGCTAGTGTTGCTAGTGAGGCCACATCTTCTACTAAATTAGCAATATAAAATTAAAACGACGGTCTACAGTAGCCGCCCTATTGAAGCTGTAGAGGGTGGCTATTTAAGGGCGACGACAGTAATTATACATCACGTTATATACCAGGTATTCTTATATCATAACTTCAACGTAATAGCATGTGATAAGACTGGCGGCACTGTGTTGGAAATTTGTGTCTTCATAATGCTACAGAGTGGCTTAAAAAGGGGCTGTCAGGTAAAACAAGTGACAGGCCTTCGTTAAATAAGGAATCGAGTTGGGAATTATACTACCTTCTGTTACACACTTGATCTGCATATACTTGGATATGCTAAGATTGGATTTCTCTGTAGCGCGAAATATTTATTCGTCCTTGTAGTCGCATCTCAGGAGAGAATCAAGCACTAGTAGAATCTAAGCTGTTAGGGCTCGGGGTTAACGGAGTAAAGCATAGACACAGATGGAACGGACCATATAAGGCGCTTTAATTGGCGAAAAATTAAGTCCTGTTCTTTCATTGGCAAATCATTAAGATCTGCTAGAACAGTCCTGCTAGCGCAATGGCAGCGCGTCAGACTTCTATGTAATGAAATCTGAAGGTTGCCGGTTCGAGTCCGGCGTAGGATGCTCTCAGTGATGATAGCTTCCATCTCAAGTGTGATAACGACGCACAATCAATTTTTTCTTTTTTTTTCTTTTTCTTTTTATTTTTTATATACCTTGAATAATTTTTCTTTCTATTTTACCATAGCTTCTAGGATAGTGAACGGTTTCACTGGTCATGTAAGTTGGTCTGTGCGTCATGAGATCCGAATCCCTTGCGCAAGATCGGGGATTGAAATTCTCGTCTTCCTCATGTTCACGACATCGGAGTAATGGAGATCCTAACATGAATCTAGCTACCGATTCGAGCAGTTTGGGCTTCTTCGACTAGCCTAATCATTCTTTTCTTACAGGATTTCTCGTTTGAATACCCGGTAGCCAGCATGACCGAAATACCATCCATTCCCAAGGATTTCGCGGGGATCCCTTGGAGTACTGGCATGTCCGGGGCTGTCTTTTACGTTTCTAAGTCCACTGTCATAAAGAAACCTCTGTCTGATGACCTCTGCAAAGAGCAACTAAATGTTGAGAAACGCATCTATGAGCGTCTAGGTCCGCATCCTTGCATCACAATGCTACTTGGGACGCATGAAGATATGCTTATTCTCGAACGGCTACAATACCCCCTCCGCCAACGCCTCCTTAATCTTCGCAAATATCAGCAGCGGCCCGCCCCGCGCGATGCTGTTCGATGGGCCTTGCAAATCGCAGAGGCTCTCCAGCACATCCATTCACATGGTGTCAAGCAAGTAGACATCGGCACATATAACGTCATGCTTGATTGGGAAGACAATGCGAAGCTGTCTGACTTCGCTGGTTCTTCTATCGATGGTTCTGAGCCCACGGTAGCGCCAAGTGCACACTCTACACACCCCAGGCTATCTATCACGCAACCATCGATCTACTCCGAGCTATTCGCATTCGGCTCTCTACTGTATGAGGCCGAGACCACTTATCAGGCGTATCATGATAAAAACGATGGAGAACTTGAGGAGTTATTCGAGGCCGATCAGTACCCGGAAACAAGCAAACTAACATTAGGAGAGGTGATTAGAAAATGCTGGATGACACAATACGCGGATGCTAGTGAGCTGATGATGGATATTCAATTGATTCAAAGTCGTCTAGGACTGCCTGCTTAGAAACCTCTGGCTCTTGCCCATCGCTAAAGGAAATTCGCAACGGATAAAAGACCATCCGAACCAAAATACCAAGGCTAGAAGGTAAGGAGAGACTTGACATAAGCCAAAGACTCGAAGAGATAGGAGGTGTCACTCTGCTCTTCACCGGCATTATTTCTGGCCGTTATATGGATCTGATACCGGATGCGCTTCGACTAAGTCCTCTCTTCAAAAAGGTATCTGCGAAAAAGACGGTAAATATAATAAGGGGTGACTTTCCATTGTTCATACACAGTATATACCTAGGTACATATTTATCATTGACCTTATCGAGTTCAATCTGAATCTCGTGGAACACCACAGATGATTGATATCTGAGCCCAAAATGATGGCCCTAGAACAGCGAGTCTTCAGCTGAACCACTGTTCCACAGGCGCTTATATCCAACATATGGTATAATGTCGATCAAGAACCCCCACACATAACACCAGCCAATTCGCCGGGTTCAGGAGGGACATCCTCATCATGATCGGAACCAATGGGGTTTCATGGTGAGAATCCACAAATGGCCTACGCAGAAGGGCATCAGCTCCGTAAGCCACGCGCGTAGTCCCCCGGGCGAAAACCCCAAAGCATCGACATTATCACCCAACCAGAGCTGCAGCGCAAGCACGGTGACTAAAGTAGCGTCTCTAGCGAATACCGTCCAGTACACGACTCTTCGACTCGATACTGCCTGTGGCGTTTTCGCAGATGCGAGGAGCATCGAGATGCCCAACGTAAAGGTTTGGGTGCCCAGAAGGCGAGTCAGCAGTAGGGCTGACGACGGGATTGGTGCCGCCACCGCCACGGCTAAGGGTGTCTGAGGCGAGAGCATGAACATTAAACCTCCAGCAAGTTTCATGACGCCCTCGGTCAAGAATAGCAGCCGCAATGGAGAGGTGGGTTTGGAAGACATTTTGTCCTAAACAAGAGGGTCTCTTCTTCCTGCGACCCAAGTCAGCATAAACCGTCCGATACTCTTCACATTCCAAGCAGTGGGAGTTGCTAATAGATACAGCGGGGAATGACCGCAATAGAACGACTGAACATACGTGAGACAAGTCTCTGGTTGACTTACTATTGCGCAAGGGATATCAAAACATGCACGTCGTAATCCAATGAATCACGAAGTTGAATCTTGCGTGACTAATCAAGAGGGAGAATTCCTTTTAGTCAGACACTCCGTAATGTCCGGGTTCAGTGCTCAGCCCCCAAATAGGTCCAGACCTCGACTACCGTTCCCCGCTAGGGTATCTCGTGGACTTTCGGACCATCTACTGTCAGCCGCATAACTTCTCAATACAGATCGAGATTCGTTAGGCATATCTTCTTTCACAATAGTTTCACACTATCTCAGCTCTCATCGCTTCAAAAGGACGCCATTCTAGCTTCGTTTTAGAGGAGGGTAATCTTGTGCCAGTTGAGGGGTAGCCCGGGGTGGCGTCGACTCGGCGCGTCAACCTAAGACTTCGGAAGCCTTTACGTGAAAAAGACGTGGTAGGCAGCAATCACTTCTCGTCAAATAATACCTACTCCGACTCTGTATCATCTTGTCGGTTCCGACAACTCTTGAGAAGGTCGTATTCATAGAATTCAAAGCATCTATTCGCTCACCATTCAGAATTTGAAACATGGTTCTGACTAATCGACGGATAATGCCGTGCGTATAGTATTAATATAGCAGGCCATGCGTCAGAGAAGTCAGCTTGATGTGCTGATCGGCATTGCACTATGCGACCTTACTGGGTTCATTGGTCAAATGGAGGCTGATAGCACAGGCTTTAGCACGGGGAGCTGAAAACCGCCAAGCAGCCCAGCCTCCACAATAGGTGAAGGAATACCGAATAGCCTAAGCCCCATGTCCGGTACTGCAGTACTGTAGCAGCGCATGGAATGGCTTCGCTCCGCCACGATTTCGAAAAAAGAGAATATCAAGGATGCACGTTCCACTATCACACGATGGAGCTGAAGCTCTCTCCTCTCTTTTAGACTCCAGTGGTCCTGTCGGGACTCGTACTACGTCTACTTGGCCATGTCTTCGAAAAGATTGGGGATCCATTGATCAACGACGGTGTCATGTCACACATCACAACGGCACCGCGCATGGGGAGAGTGCGATTCGGCGCTCTTCCTCGGTCACATGCTCGGAATGGGAGCTCTGGGGGTTACGATGGATTATATGAGTGTGACAGCCATGGAAATCAAGGATATGAACGACAGTACGATGGAGCAGATTTCCAATACGCTGAGAGGCAAGCCCGTGGCATCAATGAAGACAAAGACCCTCCGGAATACGGCAGTGATCGATCATGGTCCCATACAAGAACAGACTATAGTCGGATACCGACCGGCTACAAGCCCGACATGATAGTGTATAATGAACGTCCCCTGAGTGTTCCGCCACTCATAGACCAGGAGCCTCCCAATTACAAACCATCGGCACTGAGATGGCCATTTCTAACCACTTTACTACTTGTCTTTCTAGCACTCCTGAGTTTGCTAGTGTGGGGCCTACACGCTCTACCGGTCCTTAACAACACCGTCGGTGATCTTGAGGGCCTCATCGCAAGAGATGTCCAGCCCCTGGCCTCCTACACGGTCGTATTGATTGACCTTCCCGGTGCTAGGCCTACTGCTCCCATTACTGGCCGCGCTGAGAGCACTGTTGTGCCTACTATTATTCCTACGTCCGTACCTGCATCTATACCCGAGTCTGTACCCGCGCCTTCGTCTTCGCCTACGTTCGCTTTCACACGCGATGAAAGTGATTTTGGACATGTTGGTCCTCAGACCGTATCGGAGTCAGTCGATACGCCGCCGACGACACCACCGCCTTCAGATAGCACCCCTACAACTGATGTTATCTCTAGTGCGTCCCCCGGGAGTACCAAGCCAGCTTTAACCCAACAGAAAAGTGACTTTGGCAACGTCGGCGATACTGTCACTGTCTCGGAAAGTACTCCGATAATAGCACCTTCAAAGGACAGTACGGACTACGGCGACGTCGGATCTAAGACAGTATCGGAACGAACATCGACCGTCGCGCCCTCAGATCATGGCAACGTCGGGCTCATCACGGTCTCGGAGACCATAAACACAGTAAACACGATACAAACTGTAAAAACAGCACCTCAGACCCCTACTTTCGTCGCGCCAGCCATAACCACCTTCACGAACTCGCAGGGCGTAGCAATAACCTCAACAAGCGTGCCGGCGCCCATCTCAACACCACAAACAGTCACTCTGACAGACTCCCAAGGCCGTCCCACAGCTACTCAGCAAACTCACATCCTCGTCACACCCTCTGTCACAATCAAAACAGACACCAGTGGAAACCCAACCGCAACAGAAACCTTCTACCCGGTACTGCCAACCGACAACGGTAGCAGTGGGAACAGCAGCAGCAGCAGCAGCAATGTTGTACTGAAGGCCTATCATATCAGCTACGGGCAGTACTTCATCGGGATGTTCCTCCCAACCCTCGTGACCATCATCCTCGCCATCCCCGTCCGCATCCTCGACACCAACGCCAAGATCCTGCAGCCCTGGCACGAGCTAACCCATGACCGTGGTGGCTCTGGACGGGAGTCCCTTTGCCTCGACACTTCCGGGTGGCAATCCGTCGTCGCTAGCGCTCGATCCATACTCGGAGGCCAAGCCCTAGTCTTCTTGACTAGCGTGCTGGTTCTCGCTTCCGGGATATTAATCCCCTTGTCCGCTGAAGCTGTAGCTTTTGATCTAAAGGGCATAGGGTGTAAGGAGGGAAGCGGGTCCGGGAAGAACTGCGCGTACGTGCTCAGCGTATTCGATCAAGCGACTATAGCTACGATTGCACTGCTATCGCTCATGGCCCTTTCTACG